GATCTCGGAAACTAGGGCATTCTGACTATGTTAGAACGGTTTCCTACGAATAGAGTTGGCGACATAATACAAAACTAACCGCTGTTTTAGCTCACTGCGCTGACGTCTTTCTGTTGCATTTTCGCATTCTCGTATCAGATAGCCCGGCCGTTTTCTTTGTGTGATGAATAATGGTGCGGTTACCGACTTTACCAGTTACTATACTCACTGATATTTCGCCAGCCTGTTTACTTTTCGTAAAATAATGAAATACCCGGCCGCATGCATTTTCGCAATCGATAGTGGAAATTTTTCGGCATTTTCCTCGCCTCTGTCGGACAGTAAATGAGTGACGTCATTCTTGAACATTGGAAGTTCTTTTCAAATTAAATAAGTTTTCCGAATCCCTAACCGCGCTACTCGATTGTTTTAGCCCCAATGAAGTAACTAGGTGAATCTTGCCTGCCTCCGCGCTTTATGCTTGGCGTAAGCGGGCCTTTGAAATGGATATCGGAGGTCAGGCACTCGCAACACGCCGTGTTTGTTTACATATAGCTTTGTTGACGTACGGTGGTTCGGGAGTTCTGCGATGATAAGCCTCGAATTTCCTTCAGCATTTCTTAAGGTTTGCAAAGACATTTTACGAACTTTAGGGTGTCAGTTAGTTCACTGATATGTCACAGTAAGTACTAACGTATATGTTTCACATAGGCCCTACGTTCACCTATTTTGCCACACAGCGTCGATTCAAAAATTTTGGAATATTTATTTTATTGAGAGTTCCAAGTGTCTTGCTTCAACAGTTCTTGTTCGTCAATGCAGTGCGTTCAAGGCCGCCAAACTCACACAATTTCATCTCTGTTTTGTTTTGACGCCTGAATGCCGTTGGTATTTGTACAGCGGGATGTAAGAGGGATACTTTTCGTTTTGGGGTTTTTCCGAAAAACACAATTCCACTTTGACAATTTTATCGGGCCATTATCATTGGAAAGCCCCTGATATGGGCTCCACAACAAGCCCTTTGACTGGACTAGCTCAAAAAATTCAAAGGTGTGTTATATTTCTTCTATTTAGCCGCCTATAGTTCTTATTTTAGAATCAAGTCCTTATTGTTATTTCTAAAACTACAGACCATCCGCTGAGCCGCTGTGGGGAGACGTGCGCCGGGCCCCTCGAATTTTTGGCGCACGGTATCCACTGCGGACAGCACTTATCTCGCGGAACTGGCGCGTCTCATCGCGCCGCAGCGCCTCGCAGGATCAACAGCAAAGCTGTTCACGCCAATCTTGTTATCATGTCTCTCTGGATCATGCCCTTTAATGTTTTACTACTGCTTAGTTATAGTGCGGTTTCTGGTCGATGCTCGATAGGCACCTTACGAAAAGCGCCACCATCTGTAGAAGTAGAGATTATCTCAGTGCTTTTTCTTCTGAGTTACTCAGAGAGAGGGATTGTTTATGAAATTGTTTACGAACATTTGTTTTATAAAACATTTTGTTTACGAAAGTTGTAAAACATTATTTTTTGAACATTATCCGTAGACATGCGTTTCATGAACAGTTGTTCATTGGGATCGTTTACCGAATATTTTTACTAATGATGAAAATTGTTTGTAAACAGTATTTCTTATTAAAAATTTCTCCTGAATATTGGTTTGAAAAATATTGTCAATGAACATTGTATATGAAAATTGTTTCGTGAACATTGATTACTAACATTTGTTACGAACGTTGTTTTAACAATGTTTTGTGAACATTGTGTTTGGTTTACAGAAGGCGATCGAACGGCTTAAATCTGCGTTACAATTGACTCGTCTGAGACGAAAGTGTAAGATCTTGCTAGTGACGTCCGTGTGTGTGCACGCTGTGTGAGCTATGGGCTAGCAACCCTGTTACACATATAGCTAATATATAATAACTATTACACTTTAGCTACACATAATAGCCTGACTACCAGATACTATCCCTCTTAACAGTGCAATTGACTACCATGATATATACAGCCGTTGCGCGCGCTTCTCGCCCTCTCTCTCTCTCTCTCTCTCTCTTCTTCTTCTCTCTCTCTCTTCTCTCTCTCTCTCTCTCTCCTTCTCTCTGAGTCTCTCGCTCTCTCGCACTCTCTTCTTTCTGTCTCTCTCTCTCTCTCTCTTCTCTTTCTCTCTCTCTCTCTCTTCTCTCTCTCTCTCTCTCTCTTCTCGCTTTCCTCGACCTTTCTCTCGCCTCTCTCTCTCTTTCTTTTCGCTCTCCTTCTTTCTCTCCCTTCTCCTTCTGGTCTCCCTCCCACCTTTGGCTCTCTCTCCCCTTTCTATGCTTTTATTAAACTGACAGCCAAACTCTCTCTGCCTAGCGGTAACTGACTGACAGTTAACCAGATTCGACTACCACATATCGACTACTCCTCACATAACAAATAGTAGACTAACATAAAGTAGAGTATATTAAGTACTAGCTTGATAGCGGTTGAAGCTCTTGGTGTGCCATTCGGTATACCTTATTTTCTCCCCCGCTGTCATGAGGGACTGCATGGGCTCCAGCAGGTGGTGCTGTGGCAAACCCTCCCGCTGCTGCCAGCTGCTGATGCCATGTCACTATGACGACGGCAGAACGATGAGCTCTAAGGTTCACGAGAGGTCATCGCAATGTTCGTAAATTAGAACCCGCGCGGTGCCTACGGGCAGCAAGGCTGCAATCTATTTTTGTCGACTCCCTCGCAACACACCCCAAAACTCGATGGGCAAGCTTCTCATGGTAGCTTACACACGCACGCACATACACACGCGTTATGCACGCACGCACACACACGCACGCTACGTACGCGCGAGGCATACACACACGCGCGCAACATATACTCGCACGCGCACAACTTGAATGTGTAAACGTTTGTATTTATTTACCAGAATTTTCGAGGGATTTTGTTGCAGCATTCGCACGTTTTGTATGGCGCGGTGCTTCTGTTCCCACTGCTGCTGCTGCGCTGCTACCACCTCGGCTGCTGTTGCTGCTTGCTGCTGGCCTGCTTCTGCCTGCTTAGATGCTTGCTTGCTGCCTGTTACTGCTGCTGCTGCTGCTGCTACTGCCTCTGCTCTGCTGCTGCTGCTGCTAGTGCTTCTACTGCTACTGTGCTGCTTGCTTACTGCTCTACTACTACTGCTGCTGCTTGCTACTTGCTGCTGTGCTGTTGTTGGTTGGCGTGTTGTTGTTGTTTGTTGTTTCTCTTCTTTTTGCTCCTAATAATGATGATGATAATGATAATGATGGATTTGGTGATGATGATGACGGACGAATGATGACTGATTGCTGTTGCCTGCTGCTTGCTGCTAGCTGCATGCTATATGGCACTACGCGTCTCATAAACACGGAAACCTGGCCAATGACGGCATCATAAACTTCATGCGTCTCCTAACAGGTGTGTTCTCTTCTAACACCACACTGGCATGTCTTTTACTACAGAAACACGATGAATTAATGTTCTAACTATGTTAATTAATTGTTATTTTACGATTATTCTTTACGTACGATTTTAAATCTTTTTTATTGATAAAAAATCTATTAAATATAATATTGTTACATGGGCGTAATTATAACAATTAATTATTGTTTATTTACAATCTGCTTATGTATATATATTATATATATACTTCTAATATCGACATTACAGTATTTAAGTTGCGTTCTCGTATATAATTGAGTAATTAATTATTATCATTATATAATTAAATTGTTATAATTTTAGAGCCATTAGATTAGTGTAAGCTTGTTAAGCTATTCCTTCTGCCATGATGCCGATGTCCACTAGCATTGCCACCTCACCCGTGTCAGATGCTAAACCGATTTGATAGCATTGACTCATAATCTATGTTGGTTTGATTAATTGATTATAGAATTGATTAAATTGCTTGCATTGATTGCTCTGATTGATTGATTGTTTTAAATTGCTGAATATCGATTCGATAAAGGTAAGATAGATAGATATATTTAGATAGATAGATTAGATAGATAGATAGCATAGATTTAGGATTAGATAGATAGATAGATAGATATATTAGATAGATAGATAGATAGATAGATAGATAGATAGATTAGAGAGATAGATAGATGGATGGGATACATGATAGATAGATCGATCGATCCGATAGATTCAAGATAGATAGATAAATAGCTAGATAGAAGATTAGATAGATAATAGGATAGATAGAAGAATAGCATAGATAGAATAGTTAAAAAAGATAGATAGATAGATAGCATACATAGATAGATAGATAGATAAATAAATAAATAGATAAATAGATACATAGATTAGATAAATTGAGCGATTGATTAGTCGGTCGGTTGATTGATTGGCGTTGATTGATTTTGATTGCATCGATCGATCGATTGATCGATTGGATTGCTCTTATTTCAGCGGCTGAAGTCGATTCCGATTTGAAACAAGCGATGGAAACAATGATTTGGGCGACTAACGAGGAGGAAAGATCGAATCATCGACAGAACTGCATATCATCTAATATTTACCATAACCGCCACCATCTTTGCGTCACCGCCACCATATTTGCGTCACCGCCGCCATCTTCGCGTCACCGGCGCCATCTTTGCGTCACCGCCGCCATCTTTGCGTCACCGCCGCCATCTTTGCGTAGGTGAGGTGCATTCGAACCAGCTTGCACGACAGTCGGCGACCTTCACTCACGGCCAGCAGCCTGTGATGAAATCACCGCACAAAGAACTGAAGGGACTGCGAAAGCTATTCTCGAGGTGTGACGTCAGCAACAACAGCTAAGATCTGCGCATATATAATAATATATATATATAGCATTATATATATAATGATTGTGTGATATATTGTATAGTATATATAGTATTATATAGAAACATCACTAGCGGTAGCACGAAAGAAACATTCATAGTAACAAGAGAACGTCAGTATTATTAATGGTTTCATGGTTCTACTATTTTACAATTGACAACAAGAGAGCATCATCACGTAGTGGCGTTGTGTTGAAATATGTGTCGTCTGCTAAACAGGAAACGACGGTCGTCGGAGCCAATAACGGAGGCTCTGCCATCGCGCCCACTCTCCGCCTTGGACCCACAACAAGAGCGCATCCACTATGGTGTCTACAGATCGCTGGCGCCCCCTGCCGTCAGCTACTACAAGGCCTTCCGTCATCCGTAAGTCTCTCTATGTGGTTTCGTTTGAAATTTGTTCGGAGCAATTTGGAAGTTATGTTTTAAAAATCTTTTAGCCAATATTCCATTTTTAGGTATTCGTAATCGTTTGCTCGCTAATTGATCGATTTATCGATTTTTCGTGGCGTGTAGGTGGGCAATAGGAACATCATAAGGGGTTACGTACGTCACTGATACGTCATCGGCATTGTCAAATCGCGAGTCGTGCCGGCTGATAATGGAAACATCTGATTGGACAGCCACGATGACGTGACGATGACGTATACGTGACCCCTTGATGATGTACGTGGTCCCTGAATGACGCTTTCCCGCCTGGCAACAATCTCCCACGCCATAAATCTAAATCTAGCAGTTCTTGCACGCCATCTATCGTCAACTAATCTAACTACCAACGTACTCTCCAGGGAGTTGGACGTTCCGTTTTCGCGCTGGGATGCCGACCAGGTGGCGCTGTGGATGCATACCATGGGACTGTCGCAGTACGTGGGCAGCTGCAGGGCTTGGTTGCGGGACGGTGAGCAACTTCTACAGGCGACCACACAAGACCTTGTACAGGTACAATATCCTCTCACACCTCCCCAGCACCCATCATTCCCCGCTCATTCTATGTGTCTGTCTGTCTGTCCGTCCGTCTGTTCTGTTTCGCTGTTTCTTTTGTCTGTGTGTCCTTCTGTCTGTGTGTCCTTCTGTCTGTCCGTCCACCTGCCTGCCTGTCTGTATGTCTGTATGTATGTCTGCCTGCCTGCCTGCCTGTCTGCCAACCTTGCCTGTTTATCTGCTGCCTGCTTGTCTCTTTCTCCATTCTCTCTTTTTCCCCACCTCCTCCATCTCTCTCCCCTCTCTCTCCGTATGCCACCCCTGCTGTCCCTTCTCCGTATGCCACCCCCGCTGTCCCTCTCTCTCCGTATGCCACCCTCGCTGTCCCTCTCTCTCCGTATGCCACCCCCGCTGTCCCTCTCTCTCCGTATGCCACCCCCGCTGTCCCTCTCTCTCCGTATGCCACCCCGGCTGTCCCTTTCTCTCTTTCTATCTCGTCTTTAGCGATCTTCGTGTGATGTAGCTTGTTCGAATCTTACGCCGTATGTCTTCCTCTACTACCGTACAGGAGCTGGGAATTCAGAACCCTCTGCACAGGAAGAAGCTGCAGTTAGCTCTGCAGGCGGCAGGATCGGAGGAAGATTCTCCGGCGAGTGAGCTCGACTATCAGTGGGTGACGAGTAAGTCATTGATAACCCCTCCTCTAGATGGCGCTGCTAGTGACTAGTGAAGCCAGAACAGTTGGCCTCTCGTCTGCTTATATACTCCTATCGTCCTATCCTCCTCGTCATACGCCTATATATTATCCTGCATCCTATATTATGTTATACGGCTGTTATACGGCCTGTCTACTAGCCGTACTATGATAATGGTTACTATGGTAACGGTTAATTTGTTACAGCGTGGCTTGGTGACGTGGGCTTGCCACAGTACAAAGACGTGTTTAACAGCAACAGAGTGGACGGAAGAATGCTGAACTACCTCACGATCGTAGGTTTTGTAGTTGTCGTCATCGTAGTAGTCGTCGTTGTCGTTGTCATCGTTGTCGTCATCGTTATGATCATCATCATCATCATCATAGTCGTCATTGTAGTCGTCGTTGTCGTCGTCGTCGTTGTCATCATTGCCGTTGTCGTTGTCGTTGTGCTTGTCGTTGTCATCGTCGTCAGTGTTGTCATAGACATTGTGTTATTCTTGTTGTTGTCGTTGTAGCCCGGCAGATTTGTGAATGAATTGTGATTTTTATGATACAAGCATGAGCTTTGGCACACTGTTAGAGTATGCCCTAAGGAAAATTTTTGGCTATAGGG